ATAATTGCCTAATCAGTGGCTGAAGTAAGAAATCATCAGGATGAAATGGGATTTAGATTAAATTCCAAAGTTAAAATGTACAGAAATATTGACTTTTGACAAAACACAATCGGAAGTTTATCACTACATAATTTTCTGTGCATTGTACATGAAACTAAATATGCTGAAGTTGCTTTCACCAAGTAACCAGACGTCTTTTATTTCTGCACAAACTAAACTATCATTATTGTTTATATAAATTGTGTATTTAGCTGGATTTTAATGAGACGTTGACAACATTTTCCACTGAATCAACAAGTTGTGTTCTGGTAAAAAGGAGCTTTACCATTTATAAATAATGATAATTTATAAACAATAAATTATCATTATTGTTTACATAAAAAATAATGGTTTATTGTGAATTTTAATCACAATAATTTTACTGCAGAGAAAATAGAAATATCAAAACCACCATAGTGACATTGAATGCCTGGAAAATTGTATTTGACAGCAATGCTAGTTTTATAACTAGCATTGGGGTGTCCTCAAATTCACATGTTTAGCAACTGGATTCTATTTGATTAATTTCATTATGTTTGATGATATTTTTCTGTCTTTGTGTAGAAACTTAATATTTGTTATTATTTGTTTGCCATGAGATGACTATTACAATTTTGCATCATTCTAAATGGGTGATAAATCTTCAGTTACTATAACAGCTAAACTTCATGTAGTTTGATCAAATGTTTTCAATTTATTTTTATATTTGAGATTCCTGGAAATAGGTTATTCTTTTCTTTGTTTAATGAACGTGATCAACCAATAATGTATAAAGAGAAAATCTGTAACTAAAGATTTAATCCAAAAAAGAAAGTGATACGTGTTATTGTAATGCAAAAACTTATGGAAGTGCCCTGGATGCATCCACAGGAAGCCATCTGCCGCAGAGTTTCCACAAGAATGCCAATTCCCACAAGTGGGATTTCTAGACCAAGGAGCTTGCGCTCATCCGCTTAGCATCCAAAAATTGTCACTAGCAAGCTGTTAAACCGGAGGGGTTTGGCCCTTCTTAATCCTCAATCCTAACAAATTGGATTCACACCTTCTACGCAAGTCAGAGGTGATAAGTAGGTTGTCTAGGAGTCACGGTGCACGTTAGGGGTGACACCTGTCTTCTGTAATTCATGTGAAGTGATTACATTCAGGTTGAATTGTTCACAGAAAAGAGGTCAACTCGCCTAACACTGGGATCAAAGAGTGAATCGGTATTCTGTGGTTTTGTTTTTCTTATTTACAATAAGATTTATTATGCAGCCATTGTTGGTAGAATTTCTAAATGAAATACTGTAATATAAATCATTAACTGTGAACATTCTGAATTTAGTACGTTTTCCCAGTGCATGTCTACTTTTTTTCACATATACCCTACATACCTTCAGGCTTAAATTTTGTAGTATCTGTGTTATTCTTTGGTGGCCTGTCAATACTGAGTATCAGCCCCACCCCTTCCTGCTGGGGTTCTGTAAGATCATTTAAGAATGATCTTAAGATATAGATATATTTATATCTTACAGAAGATATAAATGTATTTTTTTGAAAAGTCTCAATTTGGAGAGAAAAGCAGTCTCTGGATCACTACCAGTAAAACTGAACAAGCAGAATGGAGCCATGTTCAAACAGCATTTCCTAAAATTACCATCAAAATTTGTATGAAGTTTAATGCTTCATACGAAATATATTTAAACTATTACTTGTGTTCAAGCTAGTTACTTAAAAAAAATGTTGTGTTTTCAGATTATCTTCGCCTCTTGCTTTTTAGCTAAAGGCTAAAAATCACAGAGCTTGAATATTTGGGGAAAACCAGTCAGTCATTTGGATGCACTGAACTATCAACTCCATCTAATGGCAGACATTTAAAATATTGTATGTATTTTGTTCACTTGCTGTACAGAGAATATTTCATTTTAAAATGTAGCCCTCCAAGGTGGAGAAAAAATAGAGATGAGTGCATGATTGGTGTCAGTTTTGTTGGAGGATATTGAACTCATCTGACCTTGAATTGAGCAGAGTTCTTCATACGAACATGACATCTGTTCACAGGTTGCAGATAATGTTGACGTTGCCTTTGTTTATCTGTATAGGATTTGTGTTTTTATTACAGTAAAAAGGAACACAGACCTCATAGTGCTTTAACAGCATAGCCCGCAGAGGCAAATTTTCTTTGACAATCAATTCAGTTTGGCTTCAAATAACTAATACAGGAAAATAAGTAAATGAGAACAGAGATTTTGAGTTTGTATGGGTAAAGACAGCAGCAGAGAATTCAATAGATCCAAACAGGGTGAGCCTTCTCAGCACAGGGGTGGCCCAAATCTTCACTAAATGTATTTGCAAAAAAAGTGAAGAAAAGAAATATTGTGTTTAACACAAAGACACGTTTTAATGGTTTTAAACATGATGTGCCCCCTTTTAAACATGCCCTTAATAATTGTGCACGATGTCAATATCAAAAAACATCACTGATGATGAGTATAACTTACTTATAACCTGTGTGAACTGAACTTATTCCTGGAAAGATTGAATTTGCACTTCCCCAGTTGACCCATTATTTTTTCTCTCCTGGTATCAGGCCTTTCCTGAGAGTCCTGTCACCCTCTCATCAAAGCAAGTAGATAAAGTGGAGGGCTTGAGAACTGAAAAGTCTTGTTAATGTCAACTTTTCTGCTTGCAGTCTTTATGTTTTGGTCATTTTCATAATCTGACTTGTGTAAATAAGAATACGATACATATTAAGGTAAATAATATAACTATGTGTTAAGGTATTCTATCTATCGAAAATGTGAATAATTTCAGATAGATATACAAATATGTGACATCTGTTGTAATAAGGATATCAGAGCTGAGCGCTAAATGAGATTTACATAAAAGCCTGAGCAAGGTGAGAAGTCCAAAAAAAGCTTAGATCACGGGGGTGCCATGCTACATGCTTACAGTCACACATAAACAACAGCTAATTGGCATTAACTCTCTGCTTTGCAGCAACAAGTACTTAGCACACTTGTAGGGCCGAAGTGTGCTGAAACTGTGACAGGAAGCAAACAGAAACTACATCTAATCTTTTAGTCGGTCAGGAAGACACATAACAGTGATCTAGAATACCTCGAAATCAAGTTGAACTACTGCAAATAGTTTTATGTTTAAATAATAAACGAGTGCATAAGAAATACACGACAAAAATTGTAAAATGGGTGAAAGCATCTAAACTTTATTTATAAATAGAAATCTCACTGGGGTGAATGTTAGTTATAAAAGAAAGAACAGCCATTCAAAAAAAATCTGCCTGAGAAACATTTTCAGTTTGAAAAAAGATCTGTTAATGAGAAAAGTGTTAAAACCAGTAATAGATATAACTTTAAAGGAAAAAGAGCACACATTACATGCATAACATGGCAGGTTTTCTGTGATCAGATCCGCACAAATGAGATAAAAGTCTATGTAACCACATCAACAGTTTTGATTTTAATATATTAAAACCACACAAAAAAAATGTTGTAAATAAATCTTGGTGGATGTTGCTGCAATTAATTTTCAAATAAATTGCTTTATCTTGTGTAACTTTATAATGACAGGATTCTTGAAATAAATCTTAATTTGTAATTGCATTTTTTGAGAAAACCACAGAAAACATAAAGAGAACTCAAACTTTTTATTTGGATTCCCAGAAAACGGATCCGCCATCCAGACGATAAGTCAGGTTGTTTTGGATCTGCAGAAAGTCTAACATGGTGTACTAAATAAAGTACAAGAGAAACCGAACCAACTCATAAGAAACCAAACTATTTCAGTCAGAAGCTGTATTAGGACTAATTTGGACATACATGTAGATCAGTCACATGCAGCGACTTTTAAATATTCAATTTAAAGTCAGCCAATATCAAACAATCCACTTGTTGTTTGATGGGAAGAACACTGATGTGAGAGAAGTCTGTCAGGTCCTGCTGCCATAGACTGACTGATGACGTGATCAGTCCTGTGTAATCTCCGCCTTCACAGTGGCTTTCGCAGTCGTGCAGCAAGGATTACTCCCTAATGCCACCCTCTCTCCTCCTCACCTTTCCTATTCCTCTTGTATATATTTGACCATATATGGATGTACTGTGAGCATGCTCAAAAATAAAAATGCTGAGCGTTGTTACCATGCCTGGATTCCTACTGCATATTTTGAAGATAAACCAGACAAGTAAGGAGATTGATTTTTACCATCACAAAATGCCTTTGTGTGCAAAAACTCAAGGATTATTTTACTGTAGCGTTAAAGAAATGTCAAATGTTTTCCATTGTGGCTGAAGTGCCCTCTAGAGGCAAACTTTAACTCACTCAAGAGTTCTAGAATAGAAACATAATAAATAGAAATAGGTTGTAGACAAATATCTACAATCCCACAATGGGGAATTGTTTTCAACCCATTTGTCATAATGGTAAAAGAAATGTAATCATTTAATTCTGAATCATTTCTATTTACATATAGCAAAAAAAAATAAAAGGTTATTTATTATGTTCTGTCTTCTGGTAAATCAGACAAAACCTTTAACGATGCCCACAGATTTGGAGTATCTTTTTTTTTGTGATGGAAATAGCCCAAGAAAATCCCTAATGTTTCAGGGTATTTCTCTAAATGTTTTTATTGTCTTGTGTATGATGTGAGGCATACAGTTCTGTGTTAACAGGATATCTTCACCTGAACTCTATGAAACTTTATTTCAATAGATGGGAGACATAATTGTCTTTTTGACTTATGAGGGGGACTGTTTCTTTGTAAAACATTTAAATTTAGCACCTCCTTTTGTCTAACAAAACACATTAAAAAGCTATTTCTGTGTGTCTGTCTTTATAAAATCTGACATATTTGCTGTCAGCATAATGTCTCCACCTTCATACTTTACATTTGATATGGCCTCCTAGGGTTTTGTAAGCTTCCCTCTTTTTTTTTTATTTTACCATCAAATACGCACAAAAACAGGAACAGTTTGAGTTTTATTAGCACAGGAATGTCTCCAAAAGCTAAACTTTGTTCTTTTTCCATTAACCAAAAGAGTTTTTTAATGCTCCATTTAATCCCAGCATAATATATTCTGAAATGAAATTAAACATGATACCCTCATAGACATATTGAAGTTTAGGATAAGAAAATGAGACAAGCAATGAACATCACAGTACCAATGTAAGAATAGGTACTGTAATGCCAGAAACAGGTGCTTGAAACCAAAAGTTTGCAGTTACAAAAATGATAGAGAAGCAATCTGAAAACAAACTTAAAACAATGAAATGAGGAATGAGTTATGTTGCTCAATTATGGATAGAAGAAACAACCCGATTGAGCTGAGCAGTCGTTTGTAATTAAAGAACGATCAAATATTCAATAGGGCAGTTTTGCTTTATTTCATTTGAACAGAGACATTTCTGGATTTCTGTGTTTCAAAGTATTTAGAGTCTGGACTGAACTTGTTGTTTTTGTAACTGGTTCTCAGTCTGGATCTCCTTAAAAGGTTTCATATTGCCCCAGCTGCACCTGGTGCAACATGACATGAATGTTGCACCATGCCAGTGCAATATGTCATGACAGTGTAAACAGTTTTGTTCTAGCCTCAGGCCAGTTTTTTCACAGTTTCAAGTGTCAGAGAAGAGCTGGTTTGCTACAGCAATTAAAGTGCTGGGCTGAATATACTGAAATACTTTTCATTGCTTCATAATATATATTTGAAATGAAATTAAAAAAGAAAACTTTAAGCTGATTTTCTTCCAATTGATATATATTTTTTATTTTTCTTCCCTGAACCTTACAGGGAATCAGAGTAACTCTTGAAGCACTTCCTAAAACCTCTGTACACTAACAGAACACAGCTATTCTTTTATAAAGCTATTCTTTAAATCTTTAGACTTAATAAAGTTAATTAACATAGTTTTGACATTTTTATTTCAGCACGCTCCAGTAAATCTTTATATGTGCGATTAACTCTTATAAAAATATATTTTCATTTTGCTTTCCCTTGCTTTCAATTATTTTCTCAATTTCAACTTTCAGAACCAAACTAGTGATTGACTAATTAGTATTTCAAAAAGACTATGTAGCTCCAGGGGTTTGCGATCTTTCTAGAAGGTAGGATTAGTTTAAACCTTTGATCCACTTATTTACAAGGAACCTAAACTTAGCTATTATTACAGCAAAAACTATAATGTCACATTTCATCTTGGGATTAGTAAACAGACTTAGTCCCAAATAATTCATATATTTGGCAGATTTAGATTTAAACTTAAATTTGCATTTTAACAATACATTTGTTCTGACCGGAAGTAATATTGACGTTTTGAAGCAGCCCAGCTAGAATTTGATGGAGAATCTGTGGAGATGACTAAAGATCCCACAAACTCCACTCCTCCAGAGCCAAAGTCCTACAGCTTTTAAATTTGTCCCAGGTCCAATTTGTCTCCTCACCATCCCATCAAGTTCTACTGGGTTCATGCTAATGACCTAATTTTTCAGTTCAAATGTAATTTTTTTAGCACTAAAGAAGTAGAGTTGGACAGCCACGGATTAGTATGTTCACAAGGAGGCATTCCTAAGTAAGATACTTGAAGCTCATCACCAGCATGCTTATAACTGATGAGCAATGTAAGAATAGGTACTGTAATGCCAGAAAATTTCAACTGATTATTAAAAAAGTATTTATTTTTTTAACATGCCATCTTTTAATCAAACAGAAATAAAGAGTTATAAATTGCTATTATTCAAAGCTGATACTCTTCTTCTTTGCTTAAGATTTTAAATCTAAATCTGCCAAGAATTTGAATAATTTTGACTAGACAGACAGACATGGCTGATTAAAGTACGGATGACCTCAGAAGCGTGTTTTCTGCTTCCTGTGGGTGACTGGCTGGACGCAGTGTGGACAAGTCTGTGAATGACTGAAATGCTTCAGGGTTTGATGCTTTCTTTATTGTGCCAGCTGGTACATTCTTTGCTGGAGTGCAGAGACGTTTCAGCCTCTGTGTAGAAGGAAAGAACAAACATTTCTTATTTTAGTATGTTAAGATGATTTATAATAAATAATAGCAACAGGTGCAATGTACTAATTAGAAAAGTAGAAATGGTAGAAATAATATATTAAAGACAAAGATGGTGTCCTGCAAAAGTTGATTTTGTTTGCCAGTTTTTGTTGTAAATTAAAGTTTTTTTGTTGTTTTTTTACATCGATACTCCTGTGTCCTCTCAACCTTTATGCCTAATTAATAGAATAATTTCAAAATTCAATATGTTTACCTGTTTCAGTGTCCCTGGAGTGATGCTCACAGCATACACCATCCACAGCGGAACAAGTAATGTTGAAGAGAGAGTGAAGAACAGTCCCAAGGCGTATCCCCACCATGGATATTCATACGTGTTGTTGAATTTCAAAGGTTTATGTTTGATCACAGAGAACAGAAACGTGAACTAGAAGAAAAAGGTACAAAAAAAGCACATCAGTTCACTGCAACCTTAAAGCTTCAGAGAATTTTCTACATTTTGAAATTTGCTGGACTGCAGCATATTACAGTGCATCCTTATGCACAAGGATGTTTCTAGCATCTAGTTCCCTGTACCACTGTAGGTTTGGTTAGTCAGTGTTTTATTAATCGAGAGGAAATTGTGAGGTGGTCTGTTGCTTACATACATATCTGTATATGATACATACGAAATATAAAAATATAAAAACTACAGTTTTTATATGGGATCGAGGGAAACAATCAAGACATTGATTTCCCCGTTTCTCACATTCCCCCCTGACCCTGAGAGTGCTCCTCTTTTGAGAGAAAACATTGTCCAAGGGATGGCTGGTTTGGTTCAGAGCTGTGCTCAACTTGGACAGCTGATATGCACAAGAAATAAATTAATGCAAAATATCACAAAATAAACACTTACGGTGCAGACACTTGGTGTGATGTACCTCCAGCAGTATTTCATCAAAGGCCAGGGACGATAACCAATCATGTCCTCCACATTATCATAGTGACCATCTGCACCTGAAACAGTAGGTACTATTAGTTTGCTGACATGCAGCAGCACAATGGAGGAACCCATTGAAAACTTGAGGTAATTGAATGTGTTTGATCGCATACCATAAACCCATCCAATACAGATAGACTGAAGAATAGCAATAAATAAAAGTGTCATCCCGCTGCAGGCATAGTAGTCAAACAGCTGGAAAACATAAAGGCCTCCCTGAAAAAAACACAGTTTCTGTCACTCAAAGTATTCTAGCTGTATACAAACTATAGAAAATCTTTATAGAAACACATTATATTATTATTATTATTATATTATTATTATTATTATTATTATTATTATTATTATTATAATAACTCTCATTTGAGCTTTACAGATGCCTCTTCGTAACATGACTCCAAATAACTCCCGGAAAATGTCTATTCACAGATTGTTTTATATAGCAAATCAAAAATTTGTTAAAAAATATCTGAAATATTTAGGTGCAATGTTCATAGTTGGCTTGGTATTTGAAAAGCAACTAATCAAAGAACACCATTCATTTTCCTTGGAGCTGATTGGCTGTACCCCAATAGCGTAAAGAAGGAAAACTGTAGCAATTAGCTTCTTTGGTACTGCAAAGACGGTTTTTACTATGCATATTATTGCATATTGAGGTATATTTGATGCTTGAACTATTAGAAAGGACAGACATAAGCATTCCTAAGAGTGTCTCAAGTATTTGTGGATTTCATCTATTCATGAGTGGTTCAGGTACTTAACCTAACCTCTGTAAATACTGTATTCATTGGCCATGTTATGCACAATGTTACTGATATTTCCAAAGATGTTGTCACTTAATATCAGTGTTGTGTGACTTCTTTTTTTGTTGTTTGTTTTATTGTCATTAATCAAGTCAACACACATCATTTCAAGTCAATCATTTTATTACAGTTCATTGAATGCGACTTGAGTTTTTAATGGTTGAGAACATTTTTTGTTTAAACTGCTCAATTTTAAAAATAACTAAAACTCCCAAGATGCCAAAGTTTTGTATTAAGGTGTGTATTACGTGAGGTGTTCATACAATTCAGATCATATGAACTGATCACTTTGTTGATTAAGAAAGGAAATAGAAGACTTGTTTTCATAACAGAACAGTACATATATCAATATTTTCAATGTCATAATCTCGAGCATCTGTCAAGATTCTGGCCCGCTTTCAGTCGTAAATAAAGTAAAGCATTAAAGTAAATTCACCTTTGTTTGCATTTGTTCAAACCACTCACCTCCGTTACCATCACAAGACCTGCCAGGAAACCTGCAGCACAAATTGTGAGAAGAAGCAATCTACGTGGAAGGGGTTTTTGAAAGAAGGAGGGATACAAGTCGGAGATGGTTGTAACCAAGGACTCCTGATATACAAACTGTTGAGGAAAGAGATATTGTTCAGTAAAATTACTGTTGTACTTTCGCATAAGACTTTCAGTTTTAAATAAAAAATTGCTATGTTTCCTACCTGACTATCTAATCCCAAGAAGATGATCATGACAAAGAAAAATATTGCCCAAAGCTGAGGCAGAGGCATTAAAGCCACAGCGCGAGGATAAGCAATGAATGCCAAGCCTGGGCCTGTTAGATCACATCAAAAAGTTTATTTGGTATGTCTTATCACTATCACTTGTAATTTCTGTTAAACATAAATCATCAACTTGCAGTACCTGATTCAGCGACCATGGAAATTTCCACATTCTGCTCTTTTGCCATAAAACCGAGCACAGAAAAAATAGCAAAGCCAGCTACAAAGCTGGTTAAACTATTCATCAGGCATAGGTAAATGCAATCCCTGCTTGGAGGAAGTGTAAAGAAATAGTGTTAATTATATCATAATGAAATAATTACATGCTGAGTGAAAAAAAAAATCACATCGACCTGTAACAGTTGTTGTTGTATTTGTTGTAACTTCCCAAAGATGTCAGAACACCTGTGCAAACTCCATAGGAGTAGAAAATTTGGCTGCCTGCATCCATCCATACCTGAAAATGTACAAAGTTTTGACATGACCAGTCAGAGAATAATTACCTGTGTGTCACTAACCTTCAATGCCTATTTTATTGGTGCAACCCACCTTGTGCCCTTCCCTTATTCAAACAGAAGACAATCTCAACATTTGCATATTAGAAACATGGTATGACACGGATTCTCTGGATTATGGTCCCTTTGCAAAATATTTTGAATCATAAGGACTTTCAATGCGGAGAATCAATTACATTTGCTACAAAAGATAGGTACAAAACCAAATAACACTTCATGAATTAAGTCTTAGAAGACAAAAAAAAAACAGCTTTACAGGTTTAAAGTGCTACCTCTGGGTCAGCGAGGCGGGATGGGTCAGGGGAGAGGTAGAAAAGAATCCCGTCTTTTGCTCCTGGTAATGTCAGGCCACGGACAAGCAGCACTGCCAGCATCACGTATGGAAATGTAGCCGTGAAATACACCACCTAATACACAAAGATGACAGTGACTGAGTACAAGATACAAGATAGTACAAGAAATCAGAAAAGAAAGAAAATCTGTTAGTTCTGTACTGTACCTTTCCTGTGGATTTAATTCCATTCCGGATGCAGAAATAACACAACACCCAAGCAAGAAGCAGACAAAGAGCCAGATCCCAACGAACACTTCCGATGTTATCAATTCCACTGGACAGCCCCAGTATTCTCCTCCTGTGACGGACTTTATTCAGTAACGCACACAAACAGACAATCCGAAATAATGTTTCACTTCCTGATACTTACTCCCAAAACTGAACAACTGAAGATGTCGTGTTGGCGTACAGGTGGAAAAAGGATGTGTCATTGTGACCATGTTCAAAACAAGCGACTGACAAGGAAGCAGAGACGTGATTAGCAGAGGGGAAAAAAAATTAGGTGACCGATGACGTAAAAGATCCTGAGAACCTGCTTTTTACCTGTGTTCCAGCTGTTATTGCAGCTCACCCATGGAAGCTCCGTTCTGAAGGATGAAAACAGGTAGAGAAACGCCCATGCCAGAATGACAATGTAATACACTCCAGTGTACAAAACAACAACTTGGCTTCCATAACCCAGGCCTATGGAGAGACAGGTATGTCTTTAGCAAGATATGTGTAATACTTATAGCTGATAAGGCTATGTATGTATATATTTCATCAACTGGATAGTAGTTGATTCCACCCAGGTAGCATCAGTATTGTGACAGCTTTAGCACATACCTTCAAAAAGAGGGCACATATTCCTCCAACATGTTATTCCACCCTGGCTGGTGAATTGGCCCAAAGATGTCTCAAGGAAGAAGAGTGGAATGCCACAGGTGAATAAAAATAAAATATAAGGAATGAAGAAAACCCCTTCAAAACAAACAGGTCAGTGATTAGTATCTCAGAAATATCAACACAAGGTTGCTAATGACTATCACACCTTAGCATTTTTTTCTGACATTTAATAATGTCAACAGTGCTGAATATTTTTAGTCATTCTTATTTATCAAGAAATACTCTACAAAACAATACTACTCAACTCTTCTCTGTGACCAGTTTTTATGGTGGTATTGAGGTGTAACTTTAGGAAAACCTTAACTTCTGATATTGCTCTCACATTAATCATGCAAATCTCACTGCATTTTGACAACTGACATTTCATTCGGACATAGCTACTGAATGTCCAGCTCTCAAAAACAATGATTTACCTCCTCCATTTTTGTAGCAAAGGTAGGGAAATCTCCAAACATTTCCAAGACCCACAATATGTCCAGCCACCGCCAGGATGAACTCCATCTTTGTGGCCCATTGGTCCCTCACATGAGTTTTTGGCTCAATGCAGAAAGGTCCGTCCCCAGGGTTTGGTTTGGTTTTCACATGGGAGATTTGTTTTGGGTCCATTTTAGCCTTGGTCAGGATTAGATAAGTAGCATTAGGTATGCAGTGGGCAGTGTTTACTAGTTAAATGAAAAGCATAACATTTACAGCATGAGATCATAAATTCCATCAGTCAAATTTCCATTGCCAATATTACCATTTCTTTATGATTATTATTATTGTGGTTGTGCTGGAAGCAGCAGACCTGCCAGAGAAACTCCCTAAAGGTCAAAGGTGGAATCCTCAGACGGCAATGCTCCGTTTCAGAAAGCGGGATAAGTAATCATTTAATTTGGCGAGTGATTGGCACTTCTGGGTTCTTTATTTCCCCCCATGTTGCCATGGTGAATGACGTTATTCACGTTCGAGAAAAGCTGAAAATCTTCGCGCTTTTTCCGGGGCAACTGCTCTGACAGTTACCCCAGTTCCACCAAACTATCATCGGGGTTTGGTGGAACCCTGCCCGCATCTGCGAGTTATTTCTTTGGGAGGGTCTCAAGAGGAGGTTGGTTGCTTCCAGGAGCAACGCTTATAGACGGCGTGTTTGTTTTTACAGGGCGGAGGTTCGGCGGAGGTCGCTGGCCAGCGAGGCGCAAATTGAGGACAGCCCGGTGTGCGTCACGACGAAACCAATACCGAGACGGCTTCGGGGTGGAACGAAGAGGTTCCCTCTCCTGGATTTGACTGACATGTTTCCAGCTTTTTAAGACTCCTCTAATTGAAAATAGAGAACAATCTTATGCAGGACTTGGAAGCCCTGAAATTTTTACTTTACAGTTTTGAAAACAAAGTGATTTATTCCTTTTATATTCCTGCTGGGAATAAATATATTTATTCAAACCTAAACCGGTCACTGCGTCCCTGGGTTCTGACTCTCTAGCTCCCCCTTGTTGTGGAAAAACTTGTCGACAACAAGCTTGATGCTTAAACACAAATCATGTATGTGTGCATATTTTTAAATGTTTTGTTTTTGTTGTTGTTGTTGTTCCTGTGTCTCCATTAACTTCCATATCATAATTGTTAAGTAAAAATTCACGAATCTATCCATCTTTGTAACACACACCTTCACACATATAAGGTGTGGTTAGTCTTCACACAGACTAACAAAATTAGCTCTCTTTTTTTTCCTTAATAAGAAACTAACATATTGCAACTGTTATGTATCATGTCCATACAAAGGTCAAATTTGAAACAACTTTTAGTGCATTTAATCAAGTCTCCGTCTTACCTTGAGCAGAACAAGTTCTTTCCTGCGGCTTCAGAAGATCAAATACCTGATTCTTTATGAGACATAGAGGGAGGTTTCTGGAGGAGTGCCCATTGAGACTAACACAACCTATTTTCTCAGAACCAACAGAGACCAGAGTTACATTTACAGTTGTCAGTGACTGTTTTGTCCAGATAACGCAGATAATCGCCTCAGACCCTATGCAGGGGCTCAAACTTATCTTAAGGGCTACAGGCTTTAGATGTAGAACATTTGTTTCCCCCTCTTACTGTCTTTAATGATTTTTTTTTTAATTCAAGGAAATTAGTCTCTTTCAAACAATAGTGCATTTACTTATTAGTCAATCATTGTATCATTTGACTCAAAATGATGGAAAGTCAGTGCTATTTTCACACACGTCAAACTGTTGAATCTGGAGGCTTCCTGGAGTCTATTCACTCTGAACAGACAAGCAGTGCATACTTTTTCAGGGCATGCAATGCATAACCCGAACAAGTATTCCCAGAAATGCTAGATACATTTCTTGGTAATTCATGCTCAGACAAAACAATCTGGTAAAAAGTCTCCAAAAAAAGCCACAGAAAGTTTTTTTAAGACACATCAAAAACCCAAAATGAGCTAAAATTATCAGACAACGTAATAATTGGTGACATTGTGGCTGATATTCACAGAAATTATTTAAATAATATGTACTTAACATATTTATTTACAATGACAAGTAACAAGTCTAAATGTAAATAAAAATGTAATAAATTTTGTCACTGAGCTTCTCAATAAGGCCTTTTAAAAGGCTAGTTCTTCTATTTATCACAAGAGGTCAGTATTTAACATAACTTTCGACATTACAGATTTTTTTTTTTTCAACTGCTTTGCTGAATTTCTCTGATCAGAATCACACTTCTCAGTGCTGTTCTTCATACTTACAGTTTCTCATTCCTTCCAACAAACTGCAAATCCTCTTGGACGTTTGCCAGTTCCTTCCATACAATTCTCCACTGGTTTATAACATTATCAATGTATCATTTACTGTCATGTCAGCCAAAATGAATTGTATTTATGAACGCTATAGTAGTCATTCCCTATTATTGATTGATTGGTTGGTTGGTTGATTGATGTTTGGACTCTCTGTCCTGAAGAAAGGTGAAGACTCTTGTAGCCTCCAACATATCTACTTACAGGATTGCAATTAACTTAAAATTTTTGAATTTTCATAGCTGTCTTACAAAAATTTTTATTTTCTTGTAATTTTTACAAGGGATTGTTAGTGGGGGAAGCACAAATTTGTTGGCCGCACAATTAACAGCTGAAAACTCCTCACTTCCTATCAGGGTTAATTCACTCTCCTTGCCTGGCTTGTCACTTTAGGTGGGACGACATCTCTTGAGGTGTGCTTCTCTCTGTGAGATGTTCGAAGCTTGGAAAATTGATTTCATAATCTATCGCTGCTTTACTTCACCACGACACTCTCCCCATTGTGTTGCTGTGTTGCTCTATCTTCATCATAGCATTTATTTGGCCAATATTTTCCAAGAAATCATCAGTGAAATTACACAGGTGGACTCGATGTCTTTGCACCAGACAATTGTTGCACCAGATTTTATTGTGGGGAATGCAAGTAAAGGGGACTAAATATGTAAGTATGTATCTGTACCACACTTTCAGACATGCTTTTTAAAAATAAAAATAAAAACAAAATTGTATCCTTTTCCTTCTATTTAACACTTATGCATTACTTTGTGTTGGTCCATTGCATTAAATACCAGTAAAATAGATTAGAGTTTGCTGTAACGTGACAAAATGTGATAAAGTTCAAAGGGTATGTTTACAAGCGTACTTTACCTGTTGTATTGTACTTTAGAATTTTGACATAAAACCCATCACAAAATTTCTTGTGTGACTAAAAAGAGCTAAAGAAAAATATATTGTCCTGTTAAATCTGCTCACAACTGCATTACTTATATAACTTTGTGCGGCATACCTTTGAAAGGCACTGCCAAAGATAATTCATTTACAACCCTGTAATGATTTGTCCAACTTGTTGTCCTGTGATCATTGCAAGCCCTTCAGTCAGAGATTCACCAACAGACATCCAAGCAGTGGCCCTGAAGAAAGAAAACCTGCTTTGAGATGGAAAATGCTGAAACAAAGACAGAGAAACTTCCTGGACATCATCAGGCTTCAGAGGGCGGCAATGAGTGAGTGCACTGACCATTTAATGCTCATATTTACTGTTAAAGAAACATCTCTCTGTGACTTTTATGAGTCATTCAGTGTTGTCAAGCTTTATCTAACAATTTCATATCTGAAGTCATAGATAAAAAGCACATGAAAATAACAGATCATTCATGCTTTTTCATTTTGCCTGTATAAACAGCTCCATGTCAGCAAAACATGTAAATATTCACATTGTTGTTTATATGTAAACATCTTGACAACAAAAGTCATCTTCATTATTCTCATTATGATTCATGATTCAAACTTTCAATTCAACTTTAAGTTACTGATGGAGCAGAAATTCACAAGTCCCATCTCTCTACAAGACAAAGAGCTACAATAGACATACAGAAAAATATAACCATGTTTTTTTCTTTCTTTTATTGCCATTTTTGCTATCTGAGAAAACGTAGGCTATTACATCATTTCGACTAAATCTGTGGCACGTGGTCAGTTGCAGTCCCTCTTTCTGGGTAAACTTGTCACACCTGGGCATGCTGTAGTTATTTTCAATGTCCTCCACCTTATTCCAGGCAGTGGGCTAGCTCATTTTAGATTTATTTTAGAAACAGAATAAACACAAGTTATTTCAGAGTGCCTGACTCCACTAGAATTGAAAAATAGTAAGGTGAAAAATTATGATTTTGATGCTAATAAGGCCTCCGCTCTCTTAATACTGCACCATTTTATAACCAAAATACTTTGTTCACATTCAAGTTTTGTTGTGCATTATTAAATTCTATTATATTAAATCTGACATTGCTACTAGATCATTAACAGGAAGCTCTAGTAGATACAGCTCTACATATTCATTGGTTTTTCACCTACTTTCTGTCTGCTTCCATATATTTTGAAGGTGAAAGGTGTTTCATTTAAAAGCAGAGCTTTGCACAGTTGCCTTCAGTCTATTTAGTTGAAAGGTCGTGAATCACGTTTACACCCTTGTAAATGTTATCAGACATATGTACTCCTTCCTACGTATTCAGAGTAATACTGTGGGGCGGGCTGAGCTCAAAGCTGAGGGTAAAGTTACACCTTGATTACATGTTAGAGGCTTTCTGCAAAGGCTTTAAAGTACAACTTGTACTACAAGCAAAGTCCAACACAAAAAACCTCTCTTTTTTGTTTTAAAATAATTTTGATAATTTTGGCAGCAGAATATTTTGTTATACTGCCACCAATATGTTTTCTGTATGGGTTTATGTTTCATTTCATAATAAAGTTGTTGTTGTTTGTTTACTTTTGGTCTTTATTTAGAAATCACTCATTTTGAATTGCTGATTTTGAATTTGGAATGCACAGTAATGGTTAGTAAATCCCAGAAACATGCATATTAGGTTACTTAGCCATGCTAAACCCCCTTTGTTTGAGTAGGTCTTTGCCTTTGCTCTGTAGGACTTTGATCAAGATGAAATTTATTGAAACAATGCTCCTCTTTGCAAATTGTTTGTTGCAGTGACGACAACGTTGTAACAAAGGTGACAACTTTTTATTACTTTAAATTCCTGGGCACCATAAAAAAAAAGAAAAAAACGAAACAGCTTACGTATATCTGCATAAATAAATTTTAAGATTGGTGTTTTATGACTATGTTTCTATTTACAACTGTGGGACTTCAACTTGCAACAGGTCAAAGATCTCTTTCTCAGTAATATTTACGTTTCGATTAACAATGCAGCAGTTTGAAAGTCTTTAACTATTGAGACTTGGCGAGCTTTTTTCAGGTTAAAATCTTGCCAGGGTACATTCCAGTTCACAGATACTGACGTCTGATACTCAGTGTTCTGTATTTAGTGAACAATAAACCATTAAAACTGTAAAAATGGAACACTTGTATTCTCTAGAAATTACACACAAATGAACATCACATTTTATTTTTGTGACATTACAAGATGGATGTAGTGTACAGTTAAGTGGGAGAAAGAGGTCTCATGATGCTATCTTGCTTTATGTAATCTGCCAACTCAAGCATGGCTTAATGAATGTCATATTACTGATAACAGAGCTTATAACAAAGGGTGTTATAAATTAATAAATACATTTTCTATGGTTGACTTGAATGCTTCTACTGAGTCCTTCATGTCTATTTTGTAAACACAAAAAGAAAATAAACATTTGGGTTCAAGCATACAGCACACTAAACGAAAACCTGGTAAAAATCCTTAAAATGCTCTCCGTGTTCCCAAAAACCATTAGAGGGCGCCAAATCACCTCCCCATTTAATATTTATTATTTAATATTTAATACGACCAATGAAAGTTTAAGCTTTTTGTGCATTGAAAGCAGGCCAATTTTGTGTATATTTTTCCCAACATTTTCAGTTTATTTAGTATATATTATGCATTTTTATGAACAAAATTACATATAAGTCTTAAACTTTTAACAGTTTTGGCACAGCTAAGCTTTTTTAAGTAAAAATGGTATATTCTTTATGCTGTATAAGGAAAATAAAAAATATTTTCACTACCATAAACTAATTGATTAAATAATAGGAAAACTTCAAGAAAGATTTTTTTATTATTATTATTGCAATTTATATACATTTATTTTATCTGCCTAACTAGAAATAACCACAATTGTCATTTACTGCAGATGCTTTCATTTTGTGGTTCCAGTTTGTAAATCAATTTTTTAATCTAAATTCTGGAGCAGGTAAATCAGAAAATATTTCTCTTACTCTCAGCAAACACCAGGTGGCGCCAACTCCCCCCTTTCTTTTTTAAAACGTTTTTTTTTTTTTTTTTACATTTACAAACAGTGAAAAGAAAAGCTGGCTCATTTCTTAACTGACAGATCACACACCACACTTCAACCATAAATTGGAACTAAAGTTTCAGAGTGGATATCAAAAAATGCTCTCAGCAGTCTTTCAGGAGGAATTATTGTGAGAAGCTTGTATGAAGGTACAAGACGTTTATTCAAAGTCATACAGCAAAACTACTAAATCTTAAGGAAATATTAGATATTTCTATTAAAAAAGCTATTAAAACCTCTAAAAAAATTATCTTCTTATTTTAGTACAGCAAATCAAAAGTATTTTGTTAAAACTGTTCAAACATACAGAGAGCCAACATGAATGCAAGTAAGCAGCAATTAATGACTCACTCACTAGTGAATCTCCTCCTTCTTTACTGAGACCATGTGGCCAAAGAGCTCTTTCTTTTGCTGCCTGCACAGTCCCCGCCTTAAGTTGCTCATTCAGAAACAGTCCCACCCCCTCCTTCCTCTGTCCTTCTTACTCTGTGGCTCCAACTCATTATCACACCACTCAGCTCTCTCAAACCTCCTCATGGACTCACTCATGGTCAGTTCTGGGTATAAAGTGTATCCTCGTGAGGCTGGGGGTTCTGCACTTGTCTTTTGCTCTGGAGGCACCAAATGAAGTCTCTTGCAATGGATGCATGACTCAAAACTAAAGTGGCATCTTTTTAAGGTACTCTTTGTTTTTCTTTCTTGCCTCAGCATGGTTTTCATATTGTGTTCAGTTTATAACTTTTCCAAGTGGAGTCTTCTGCTATTTCAGTTCCGCAAAGCAAAAGTCATAGCTGATACCCTGGCAGTTCGGCGGTACAGTGAGGCTTGGAGCTTGGAATATGTAGGCCAAAGGTTACTAGTTATGCTGCAGTGAGGCGGTTACTTCTCTTGTTTAGTACAACACCCTACACCGGCAGTAAAAACCAAACAAAATCATTTATTCTTCTTAAGAAAATATTTCAACAGTCTTCACATAAAGCTCTAAAAAAGATCTCCTCTAAGTTTCTAATTGTCTTAGGAAAATAGGTTTTACATGACCAATTGTGCTCTTTTGTTTTCTAATGTGTAAATATGTTTTATTACAGCTCTGACGCATGTACTTAACTAACAGCAGGTCAACATACTTATACTTATTTTATACTTATCTGAATCTCTTGCACACAAAGAGTAAACTGAAAGTTTAGTGGAAAGTTTCCACAGATGTCCTTGAAATCATGAGCTCATAATTTCAAGAAAGGAATGGCCCTGTGTTTCAAAAAGCAATAGTGGTAAATGATGCCTTACTTTCCAAAGATACAAGTATGTCCTGTCAAGGCTCAGATTGTACACATTGCTGAGGCAGTTCACCTTCTCTGCTAATGGATTTCTGGTTATTCTGTTAAAACAGGAAGTTTACACTGTGAACAAGTGATTAACCTTTTCTCACAACAAGTCTGACATACATATTCTACATGATATGCAGTTTGCTGAATAGCTTGTACAAAGTTGTTTGGTCTTTGGTAAAGTTGATACCAGAAGTTTACATAGACCAAATAAAAACCCACACACTTTGTTTGAGACTGAAGTAAAGTCAGACCAAACTTCTTGTTTTTCATCACGAAAAATTACGCAACCATATTCTACTTCTGTCAGGACATAGGATTAGTTTATAATAATATTTATATACGAACACATATTATTAGTTTATTATGATAACATTGTAATCTAAATGCCCTAAGTAGTAGGGCAATTAATGCTCTACTACTTACATACATTGATATACATTCTCTAAACTGAATTAATCAACTTTCACAATAGTAATATGACACAGTAAAAAACATGTGACTGTATGATAATGGGAAGTCAAATACTGTATCAGTCTCATTATTAGCCTACTAATAATACTTTTAATAGTCGGTAAATCAAAGTTTGCCATATTAAAAAGATATTTTAAAAATAATAAAATAGAATCTGTGGGATTTTCAAAAATTGCATTGTAGGAATAACAAATTCTAGGAGCCAACTGGAAATATTTTCTCTAACAAGGATCATGACCAAAGAACATTGGAGATAAGACTGAATTTCCATTTTTAGTTTGATGAGCCTAATTTTTCATAATCATTGGCTGCTGGTTAAGGAAGTTTTCATGTAGAGTGGTGATACTGATACCACTAGAAAGAAAGTCTGTGCCTTATTTCAAAGAGGTTGCTTGTGTAGCCAAAGGTAGTGTCGCACTAGGGTTGCTTGTTTTCAGAATTTGTTGTCACTTTTGCCCAAAGGTTGATGTGAGTTAACAAACATACAAGTTACTTAGCTTTATTTTCTTTCCCTTTTTCCTTTCTTTATGTTTTTGAAAAGCAAGGGCAATCATTTTTCTGCGGTCAAATTGCATATGTTTGCTCAGCAAAAGCTCTACTGCACTGCATGTGAATTTACAGAAGCACTCTATTAAATCAAAGGACCAAAAACTGTTTTAAACTTGACTTGCAACACAATTTTGCAATAATAACAAATATTTTTTTTATTTGATGCTATGTAGCCGCACCCTTATCATCTTGCTGTTATTTCAGATTCAGCTTGTTGTGATTTTGCAGAGAACAATAAAACCAGTCCTAAACCCTCCAGCCATGATTCAAGCACTTACACAGCAAGAATAAACATGAAGGGAATGTTCAACGTCATTGCCCTGAGAAAGGAGACAGGGACTGTGTCCTAGTATTTTGGTCTGAAATGTGCAAACCGGCCACAGAACAAAAGACAAAGACCTTGTGAAGATGCTGGTTGGAGCTGGTAAGACAGTGTCATTATCCACAGTGAAACCTGCCCTGTACTGTCATGAAAGAGTACTCAGAGAGGAGGAAGGTATTATTCAAAAAAAAAAAAAAAAGTCAGATTGCAGTTTGCAAATGCACACAGGGACAAAGACCTTCTTTTTTGGAGACGTGTGCTGTAGTCTAAAGCAACTAAAGTGGAACTATTTGGTCTCATGACCATTGTTACATTTGGATGACGATTATAAGACTTGGAGCACCATCCCAAGCATATTTTTTTGTTGCTGGACAAATTGGTGCAAGTAAATGGCATCATGAGAAATATTGGGACATGGAACAGCAGGACGTTTAGCTCAGGCTCAAATGGATCTATCGGATGGACAGTATCCATAAACATACAGTCTGATTATAAAATACCTTAAAGACAACAAAGTCAGTGTTTTCACATCACAAAGCCCTGATATCAGTTCTAAGCAGATCAAAACAGGTGTGTGGAGGTGAGGCAGCCTACGAAGCTGACTGAGTCATAGCCGTTTTGTCAGAAGGGTCGGGCCAGAACTCCAGGAAAACAATTTTAAGATGCTTGTGGAAGGAAACTCAAAATGTCTGGCACAAGTCAGACATTTTATTTGTAAACGTCTGATTTTAAAGATATTAATAAATAAATATACGAGAGATTCTCTGAATACTGTGGCATTTAGCAAAGAAAAACTAATAATTTGGATGATTCTAATGAACAGGAGAAGTTTGGTCTGATTTCACTTCAGGCAATGAGGAAAAAAATATGTGTTTCTTTTCATCCAGCATATGTGAACATCTGGTTTTAACCATACATCTGTTTTCTGCACTACAGCTTATGTACTCTCTTTTTAAAGCCCTCCCATCACCACACAAACCCAACTTGTTTACTCTATCTGATCCCCTTTTTACACAAGCCCTGAAACGGTAGAGGAAAATATTTTAAAGGAATTCATCCACTTGCTGCCAGGAGAGTGTTGATCCAGGACCTGCAATGTACTCAACATTTTTCTGCCCCATCAAACCTGTTGCTGCACTAAAAAAGAAACTTGAATAAGCAAAAATATAAAATAAAGCACCACTCAATCAAAGTTGTTTTCTATCCAAGGCACAATTTTATAGTCATATGACAGATAAAAATAGAGAGCTATTAGTTAGTTTGGCAGCTATCCTTTCAACTGATATCGGGTTTCTTTTAGGTTTGAGTTTACTCTTTGTACACAGTTATATGTCTCTTTCTATGAATATTATATGTTTAGACTGTCTCAGTGTCAGTTTTCAAGGATGGACTGATTGGATCAAATCAAAGGATGGCATAACTTCTGAAATGCAATCGTCATACTCAAAGCAAAACAAAGGGAATGTTCCAACAAAATTTGAAACTCAATCAAGAACTAAAACAATGATAAACACCTGCATCACTTTGCAAATGCTTCAAATTGGAGTTAAATTTTAACCACTCCTCCACATGTCCATTGTATTTGTTTTAGTAGAAAATTAATTTTTTCAACGAGTGCTCACTTTTTGTCACGTTCCAATAAAGGCCAGCTTAGTGAAACGCTTTGCTTTTAGACCTCTGCAGCTCCTCAAAACTTACAATGAATTGCTTCTTTTAATAATGTTAATATGCAGTTCATTAGTTGAGATAGGTAGCCATGGTTTTGTGTGCTATGATATTTCTAGTATTATATAATTGAGTGAACAGTGCATATAAATGTAGCAAATGAAAACTATCATTCACCAGTTGGTCATTCGGATGATTTTTACTATGTGAAAAACCATTTCAGTCATGTTGTAGTTTAATGTTGGTTTTTCTAAGACGTTAGTATAAGTGATAAATTATCATAAAGTTGCTTATTATGCTTAGATGCTTATATGCCCAGTGCAGTAAGACTGCCTGAAATTAAGCAAAATGTCCTCCTATCTCCTATTAATGGGATTTAAAATGAGCTCTAGTTTATTGTGTAGGATGTTAGATAGTCAGGAGGTGAATGTTGATGCTTAGCAAAAAATAAAAACCTCAATTTCCTGTTGTTCATGTAAAGCATATAGCTGTGGGCAAAAAAAAAAAAAAAAAAAAAACTAAAAATTTAAAAATGATTTAAATTTAACAGCATGGAAATTATTTGAACTGGTTATGTTATTTATAAATATATAAAAGTCTTGATCTGCATGGTTGCTTGTGTTATTTAGTACCTAGAAAGTGTGAGGCAGCTTCATGAACTCTTTCGCTGACATAATTCAGATAAATATCAACACACTAGACCCACAGCAGTTGTGAAAAGACTCTTCCTGTGTTGAGCGGTTCTGTTCTCACACAGCGTTTTTTCCCTGGACAACAATGTTGTCTTTTGTAGAGCATGAACTGAGCAGATGCTAAGCATGGCAGCTACATGCTGTGTGTCTGTATAATAGTCTTTTGAAGCAAAGAACCAGAGAGAGGAATTCCTCTCATAAACAAAAACACAAAGTTCTGAAGAACCGGCAGGCAAACCTTTATTTCAGCACACAACTTGTAGGAAATGAACTCCTCATAGTGAAAACAACATTTGCAAATTTGGCCAAATGTTAGACCAAGAAAACAAGACAATAATGCCTCGAGAGTTTAGAACTGTTTAAACAATAAACTAAAGAAAGTATTCTGGGTGATCTCAATCAAGAAATATATTTTCCCATTATATATGAAGTTCCAAAAACCAAAGACCTAATTGATATTTCTTTCTTCTACTTGAAAAATATCCAGTATAAAAAACTGTATGTATTATTTTGTTCTTTCTGTCCCCCGAGTTTATAGATAACTGAGTTTGGAAGTTTTGCATTATGCTATTACAATAAACAATTTTAATCCACAAAGTAAACCATTATGGCTGTATAGGGGCAGAGTTGGAGTAAGAAGGTCCTAAATTCAAATCCTGGCCAGTAGTCTTGCATGAACTTTGCATATTCTCTTTGCACATGCATGGACTCTCATGTTTCCTCCCATAACCACAAAACATCACTGTGAGGATAATTGGTCATGACAATAAAATGATTAAAACTTGCATTAATAGTAGGTGAGCCAGGCATATCGTGGCAGGAGAAACCATGTTTTTTTAACAACACTGAGAATAATATTAAATTATTTGTTATTATTTTGTTTTGTTTTGTTTTATTTAAATCATCATTGTTTCTATTTACATAGAAAAAATAGTCAATTTATTTTTCTTGACTATTTACTTTCTTATATTAATAATATTGTAGTTTATCAAACAGGACTGTCCAGGCCCTGGCGTTGCCAGCGGTAATCCATCAGTGATCTTCCCACTCCTTCAGATCCTTAAACGATCAATAAAGGACTTCAAGAATGTTGATTTCAGCATCTCAGGATTTTAAGCTTTCAACGATGTTGGACAGCACATATTTTCCACTCTACTTGCAGCTCCCACTGTGAAACTAGAGCAGCCACACAAAAGCAACATTGATGAAAAGAATTACCCTCTGTTAACCTAATGCAGAAAGATTGCTCACACTGTGTAGATAGTAGAGAGCAACATGCTTTGCTGAATAGCTGTCATGTTTTACACACTTCTCAATTTGTGATATGATGTCCAGAAGTTGACAACATAGCACATGTTGATCTGTAACATACTCTGGCACATGATGTCCTGTGTTATGTTGCAGACCAACATGTGCTGTGTGCATTTAATTATTTTTTAAATACATGAAATATTATTCTGGTTGGAAAAAAAAAACATAAGTCTCCCAGTTTAAAGTTTGTTCCTCTCCCACCATAGCACAATGGATAATGCCCACAGTCCAGAGGTCAAGTTCAGACTGGATGAGGGCCCTGATCATCCCACAGCCCTGAGAGGACAATGGTCAAGCAAAATTGAGTTTCTTCTAGCTGTGGCGGGACAAATTATAGGGCTGGGAAATGTGTGGAGATTTCCTTATCTGTGCTACAAAAATGGAGGAGGTAGGTTTAAAATTGACAAAAAGCTTTTTTTTTCCTTAGATAATTACAATATTACTTAGCAATTTAAAATGTGAAAGAGTAATGTACAAACAATTCTGGCTAAATATAGCCAGTAAAATGTTACTTTGAAACAAATGTTTAAAAAAAAAGACTCTAATTTATTATAGTTAATTTTATTTGCTCAAACTATAATTCTCATTTGGATAATCCTGAAATCAGAATTATAGTTTTAACAAAAATGATAAAACTACTTGTAACAAATTAGATTATTTCCTTCTAAGCTGGCTCAAATATTTTTTTTTAGTGCAGAGGCATAAGGTGACACGTTTAATATTTTTCAGGTGTGTTCTTCATCCCGTACGTACTTTTCCTCTTCTCCTGCGGCATTCCCTTGTTTCTGTTGGAGACATCCCTTGGCCAGTACACCAAGCAGGGATGCATCACCTGTTGGAGAAAAATTTGCCCGCTCTTTGAAGGTAAACTGAAATGAACAGAAGCACAATTAAATAGGAACATTATTGTAATTCTGGACACATCTAATCTTAAAAATGAGGTTTGCATGAATGGCCATTTGTCATTCTTTGTGTTTGTGACACCATTTTTACTTTTTTAGAACAAAAAAAGCAATAACAAAAAATGTAAACATAGACAGATTACTATGTGACAAATATGTTATGTCCACGTGTTTGCTCTGCTGGTTGCTTCCTGATGATTTTGTTCAATAAATATTTTCTAATATAACACTGCAATATGAAAATAATCTGCTTTGAGTTTTAGAATATTAGCATCTGTTCATGTTGTAAGATTTCAACAACTTATTAGACAACAAATTATCTGACTGATTATACCACCTTGTTTTTCTTTCTCTTTCAGGGATGGGTTATGGCAGTCAGGTGGTGGTTTTATACTCCAGTATCTACTATATAGTGATACTAGCCTGGGCATTCCTGTATCTGTTCTCTTCCTTCAGCTCTGAACTTCCTTGGGCGACCTGCAGGAACAGCTGGAACACAGGTAGGCCCACGACATCCCAACCAGGAGGATGAAAAAGACAGCAAAACAAGAAACTTTATTTTTGAGCATTTGCAATGACAGTCAGAACTCTAATAGGTTTCCTCACTTACAAGAGAAAACTAAATGTCAAAGAGAAAACTGGATGTCAAACTTCTGTCTGCGACTGTGTGCTTTTCATAAGGTGACCTGGTGCAGGTGCTGCAATGCATTTGATGTGCAAAAGTTCCCATTAAACACAGGGTTTTAAGCAGTTTGATTTAAAAAACCTTTAAGTGGCACATTATTTTTTCTCTTTCAGATTTATGTTTTCGTTACGTGAAGGTTTTCAGAAAAACGTTTGCACAACCTTATTAGACTTTTCTTCATTCTCTTTATTATGATGATTTTTTTTTTGTCTTGAAATACTGGTCCTGTTTCTGTTGACTAATCTTCCAACTGCTTTTTGCAAATAAGTAAGCAGAGAAAACACCATCAAGTTGTTCTCTTTCCTGCTGCAAACCAGTTTTGCAAAGTTGTGAATGTCCCTGCGTTAGACTATGAGCCTAAGCAGATAAATCACTCGAACAAAGAAAAGATAAGAACAGTCACAAACATGTTGGTGACGTAAGAATATGTCAAACTAAGAATGTACTGCAAAAATAGGTGACCAATGTTATGTTAATAATTATTCAAAGAACAGCATAATACTGTCTATAGCTTTAACAAGGTCTCTACATTTGCTTGAACATATTTTTCAAAATTTCTGTATTTTGCAGAAAATTGTGTGGAGTTTAATCAAAGACCAGATTATTTCAACCTGACGATACCTGAGAATGCAACTTCACCAGTGAGAGAGTTTTGGGAGTGAGTATGAGAAAAGGGGACACAGTTTAACATTTGTTCATGAAGATATTGAAGAAATGACTGGTGTGATTGATTTTCAGGAGACGAGTTTTAAATATCACGGGCAGCATCAATGAGTTGGGCAGTGTCAGATGGGAGTTGGCTCTCTGTCTGCTGTTGTCTTGGATCATCTGTTACTTCTGTGTGTGGAAAGGAGTGAAGTCAACTGGGAAGGTAGAATAATTTGAATGTCACACATACACAGAAGACAACCTTTACATCTAATGACATGCATTTTCTGTCGTAACAGGTTTTTTTTGGTACCACAACCCTGTCAAAATATGTTGAAGCATGTTCACTTGTTAACCCTGATTCTTCTTCAGAAGCGATAAGATCAGAATTTAGTGTTTTGAAATGTTTTGTTTGTCTTTGTGTATCAGGTGAGGCAGAGTCATGTGGACTGTGCTAAGCTAAATTAGGAATGTGCTCTTAAAGCTTAATTTAAGATTCTTTCTCATCTCAATGCGTTCCTCCTTTCTTGTGGAAACAGCTCCTACTATACTGCCTTTTGATAATATAGAAAACAAAGAAAACAAAAAAAAACGTATTAAAGAATTTTAGAAATGTAACTCTTAAATTGAATTTTCAATAATTTAGCATTTTTACCCATGAAAACATCTTACCCATGAAAACATCTACCGTCCACGAAGAAATCTCTTCATGTTTGCCCCACAGGTCGTTTACTTTACAGCTACGTTTCCTTATGTGATGCTTGCTGTGCTGCTCGTTCGTGGACTCACATTGCCAGGAGCCATGGATGGGATCAAATTCTACCTTTACCCAGATGCATCCCGCCTCGCCGACCCACAGGTCAAAATAATTTATTCACCAATTCAGTACCTGAGTTGAAAAGTCATTTTAGAAAAATTTAGATTTCAAATAAATTCTCGTTCTCTTTGTGGCTTTGTCAAGGCTTTCGCTCCTGATGACAACAGCATTTTTTAGTTTTTAAACAATCTGCCGTGCCTTTGTCTTTTAGTTTTGGTTTACCACTTCAAGAATAATCTTCTGGCTGTTGATTTAAAAACTTTCTATCTCGGCATGCCACACAAGTAGAGAGCCTTTTAAAGAAAACACTCAATAAGGATTGCGTACTTGCTGAGGTAGTAATATGCAACAGAGTGCTCATTGCAAATATTGTAAGGCAGATTTTTAAAATGTGACATCTGTTTGTCTGGCAGGTATGGATGGATGCCGGGACACAAATATTTTATTCCTATGCAATTTGCATTGGCTGTCTAGTTGCATTGGGCAGCTATAACAAGTACAACAATAACTGCTACAAGTAAGTTCAGCAGCTTTAATGAAAATACCCTATTTGTTTAATAAAAAGAAAACAAAGGTCACAATATTTGGTGCTTTAGGTGATTATACAAGTCATCGGTAAACTTTCAGAGACTTTATGAGGAATATTTTATGTGGAAAAAAATGTATAAAATATAAAAGAAAATAACTTAAATGAACACCTGTTTGGTTTCTGCAGGGATTGTGTTTATTTGTGCCTTTTGAATAGTGGAACCAGTTTTGTTGCTGGTTTTGCCATCTTCTCTGCGCTTGGATTCATGGCCTATGAGCAGAACACTGACATATCAAAAGTGGCAGAATCAGGTGAGCTTGTGAAAAATAAAAAAACTTAAAACTTAATTTTATGTTTTAAATACAAGTTGAAGTTCCATAGTAAAAGTTGCCGTGGGTGCTGGTTGGTTGAGGAAATGTTCACCTTTGTATTTCTGCAGGACCTGGCTTGGCATTTATTGCCTACCCTCGGGCAGTCGCCATGATGCCTTTTCCTCAACTTTGGTCCATATTCTTTTTTGTTATGATCATTCTTCTGGGACTGGACAGTGAGGTGGAGCACTGTTTCGCTTTGTGTGATCAAAATAAATCAGAAAATTATTTTTTTAAATGATAAAACTAAACAAGGTTGTTACTTTCTGTTAAAGAAATAAATGATTGAAAACTGTGAAAACTTTAGATTGTATTTTCAGTGATGAAATTGTGAATATTTCATGAAAAAGAAAAACTATGAAAATCACAGATTTTCAGAGATTTTGACTCAGACGTCTGTGATTCAGTTTGTAGGTCTGGAAGCTCTCACAACATCAATATCTGACCTGTATCCTGCCTTCTTCCTTGTCGGCCATCGACGTAAACTTCTGCTTCTGTTCGTCTGCGTCTTCAGCTTTTTCATCGGTCTTGTTATGGTGACGGAAGTAAGATTAAATCTCACGTGGTAAAATTCACACTTCCAACAACATGACAGTAAAATATCTAATATCGCACACAGGGAGGACTGTACGTCTTCCAGGTGTTTGACTACTACGCCTGCAGTGGAATGACTTTGCTTCTGTTTGCCTTTCTGCAGTCTGTGTGTGTTGGGTGGGTGTACGGTGAGTCCATCACCGGGAGGAAATTTACGCAGATTCTTCACGGTGGATCTTAATTGTCTTTATTCCCATGCTTTCACAGGTGCAGAGCACTTTTACGACAACATTGAGGACATGATTGGATACCGGCCTTTCCCCTTCATTAAGTATTGTTTGAAATACGTCACTCCAGTGATTTGCCTGGTGGGTTCCAATTAAGATTAGAAAACTCAGCACAGCCTCCTACATTTGCACTGAGAGACCTGTCAGTTTTAATTATTTCTAAGCAAATTTAGGCAAAAACATGCCTGCAGATGTTTGATCTGCAGATATCTGACTTGAAATGTGCTGTTTGGTTTCTATTTTCCATGTAGAGGTGAATGCTGCAAGGTTACATGTTAATTAGGTTTGTGATTCATCATCTGTAAAGATACACGTTCTAAATATAACTAACTCGGAAATCTGATTGTTTCGCACCTTTTAACTGGTGACAGCTAAATATTTTTGTGGAATTAAATATTTGCTTTGGTATTAAAGTTGCTGTGGAGGACTGTGTGAGTGAGGTTGTTTCATAAACTGTTTGAAAACTGTTGCTTAAACTTGCTTTTTTGAGATTGACTTGTAATAAAATGTATTTGCTTATTTAAAATATTATTAAAGAAAAGTTGCCAACACTTTAACTATCATTTACTATCTTTTTCTCATTAATATTTTCAGGGGACTTTTGTTTTTTCCTTGGTGAAGTACACCCCTCTGAAGTTCGACAACACAATAGAGTATCCGTGGTGGGGTTACGCGCTGGGCTGGTGGTTCACTCTCTCCTCAACACTCATGGTTCCCCTCTGGATGCTGTACAATCTGCTCATCACTCCTGGCACCCTGCGAGAGGTAAGTTATCGTCACACCACCAAAGATTAAAAAAGCAGTTTCAAACAAACTTGAATTAAAACTAATGTGATTCTGTTGCAGAGATTCTCTATCTTGTGCACTCCAGCCGAAGACCTTCCTCTGACCAAATCAGAAAAAAAAGCTATTGAACTTCTCAGCCTGCCCCCACCTCAAAGCGACATGGATTGACGAGGCGAATCTGTCCGATCAGGAGAGATGAACCTGATTCCTACGTACCGTCGTTAAGGCGTAGAGTTAAACAGCTTTGCATTTTCATTCTATTTCTAGAAACTGAAATGCAAAAAAACTTAGTCAATTTTCAAGCAATGTTTTTCTATCTTTCTTTTAATGTTAGGCTCTCATAAGATATCAATATAAGAACCAATGCACTTAAAATGTGTTACTTTACACTTTGTTGAACATCTCAGAGTTTAAAAGGCTGTTTAAAATGTTTGAGGGGTTTTTTCTATTTGTTGTTAAAACAAAATAAGCACAAATTATTTTCTTTGTTGGAAAATAATTCCTAGAAAATTGACATTTTATAAATCCTGTTACATTAAATCAAACCATATTAACCCTCTTATTATGATCCTGTCAGCACAAACAAGCTGGTGCACGAGCTTGTTATTGCAATCAAAACCTACAGTAATAAACATTTTTCTACAGGCATATAATCAATAAATCTAGGTGGTGCTTTGGTTGCTAATTTTGAATAGTTTTTAATGTAACTGCACTTGTACCTGTATATTCCTGGAGATTATTTTTTCCCGAAAACAACACAATGCACAGTTGCAATTTATTCATATTCCTGGCAAATTTATGTCAAAAGTATATATTTGAAGGGGCAGAATTATGTATTTTCAAGGCACATAGTGCCATTTAATAGCACAATCAAGTGCATTTTTACCTTCACTTGTTAAAAATACTGTACAGACATAAAACATGACTTAAAAGAAATTTGATTTAGCAATTTATTAGCTTGAAATTGGGTCTCTGTCTCTTTAAGAAGCTCCTTGTCTTTCCGACACGCTGCCTTTAGTACGTTATCAGAACAGCACTCCTTTATTATCCTGTCAACAATGATTTTACCTGCGTTGAACAGACTAATTTCCAGACAATTCTGGGTGATCTGAGTGGGGGAGTCTTGTGGGAAGGGTTCTCTGCAAGGAAGAAGCTGGACTTGAAGACTGAAGCTCCAAGGAGAAACTTTGTTTAGGCACCAGAAATGGCTGCCAGATTGAAGGATTTCTCAAACAAGTATAAAAGAGTCAACATAGACACAATATAGGCCAGGCTTGAAGTAAGTTTAAAATTTTTGAGAAACTCTAGAGGAAGCCAAAGAGGAGGTTGATGCCAGGGAAGAAGACTTAGAGTTTATCACCAGAGATAAATTGTCAAAATTGCAATAAAACCATGTAAAAAAAGAAAAAAGCTGCATAGCAATTATTGTAAGGGATAACTGTCTTGTTTTCTAACAGAAACAATGTCTTTGCTATTTAAATCTGCCAGGAGTGTGAATAATTTGGGGTTTGAATGTCATTCTGAGTTTTAGGTCAAGGTAAAAACTCTTCCTGCTCAATTGTTGGGCAGTCTACAAACAAACTGTAATAAAATAATATTTAAAATAACAAAAACAATTTGGAAAAAAAAATTAAGAAAGTGTTGGGCATATATTCCCTGCTTCAACACATCAGGGTGTTTAAGCTGTTTCTGCTTGACCACATGTTCTTTACTATTATTTAAAATGACATTTCTTTGGTTTCTTTTCATGTCAGTATAAAAGGGAGAAACATAAATGTGAAATTGTCTTGTAGTGTTTCAATTTCTCATAGCCAAATGGCCTGAGTGATGCAGAAAATCTGCGTTTATCAAGCTCCTTTGGTTACCAGTGTTTATATAAAGAGTTGTGTGTCTAGTCAACCTTTTTCAACCACGCTTTGTCAACACGGATTAACATGCTTGTTGATTTAACGCGATGTGGAATGCTAATAGGCAAAGATCTCTGGAGTGCTGCAGACTTATTCAACATACCAGAGTTGATGTGCTTTACTTTAACTATGACCTGATGTTTGGTTCAAAACCCCGAGAGAACTGCTGAAGTGTAAAAATGGTTTCTGTTGTAAAAAATATGATATTTTTCATTGTTTTTTTACATCCTGCACACAAAGACAACACAACAAATGTTTAACTGTTGTAGCCGAGACTTGACTCAAAGACTTTAATGCATATATGGACTTGTGATTTTCTGTCTTTTTGCAGCAAAGACAGCAAAGCATTAAACTGTTAATGCACCGTAAATTGTCTCTCCATCAAATTCTGTGTTTACAAACATAACTGACTGTCTTTTTTTTCTTTTTTTAATATTTCTAAGACAACCATAGATATATGATCAGACAAAAGAGAGAGTCTATTTTTTTAAATAAATATAATGTTGCAAAGTGACCTAAAATTTAGTCCTGCAGAAATACAACAAGATGTAAAGTCAGTAACAGATTTTTAAAGAGGAATGTGGCATTGAAGTACATAAATATAACATTTTTTTAGCAAGTTTAATCTTGAACTACCTTGTATTTGTTACTGATGCTGCTTATAAAGACAATGTAAAGAAAGACCAACTGTGATTTTGTTTTTCTGCCACTCCAGTGAGAGAGTGGATGAGCTGTTAACGTCAGTTTTGAGTTGAATGTGATTCTCACACTATAAATCACTGTAAGTAGACAGATATGTATTTTTTGACATCTTTTTTTTCCTTTTTAATCTTACTTTTAACTCTATTTTTTTGGAGATCCTTGTTTGGATGTTATTGTTTATATTATTTTTGTGTGATTTTATCATGTATCACTAAAGATTGTGTCAATATTGGTGACTAACGGTTTTATGAATCTGGGAAATGCATCAAAAGCAAGAATTGTGCCGATGCAATTACGTGTGTGATTGGTTTCATTAGAGCTGTTGAGGATGTCTTTCTACGACCTCTCTGTTCCTGCAAACTAACCGGTAACAACAATTCAGAACCTCAGGTTATCACATAAATTGTAGCTAATCTGTTAACAGTTTTCCTTAGCAAAGTTTGATATTCAAAAATGTTAATAAAGTCTTAAATGACTGCTTAACATTAGTTCCAGACTCTTTTGTTTGTAGTTCATCAGAGACTGCTAAAGATACAGTTCATATTTTATAATTAGTATTCTGTGACATACTATGAGTTGTAAATTGCAAGCAGTAGATTAGTCTTTGGAGTTCTTCCTTTTAAATCAATTCATTTTCTTTGGTAAGTGAGTTATCTGCTGCAGATGAGATACTGAAAGCAGGTGAAAACGTAAGTAAAACTTTATTCACATAGCACCTTTCCAGATGAAAAGCACAAAAATTCTTCAACAAACAGAATAAAACAATACAAAAGGAAAATTAAACAAAAACAGACTAACAAAACCACACTTCAAAAAATTCCTTTAATTGATAGAAAGTGGCCCCATTTCTTTTTTTTAAAAAACGCCAGTATCACAGTTTTTCATTTCCAAGTTTAAAAGTAATTTCAAACTTTAAGTGATTCACTCCTCTAAGAATAAAATACAAACCTTATGCTGGAACAGCAAAACTGTATTTTTTATCATCTCAAAGATATGCTAACATCAGCTATTTATTAAAAAGGAAAAATGAAACTAAATCTAAGTTAAGTAGTGGCTCTTCATATGTTGCTTTCTAAAACTAGTTCTACTGCCCCCTAGTGGATAAATAAAGCAAATACTTCGTTCATCATCAAAATGAAGGTTGAGAGAAAACTGTGTTCTGACTTGCATGTTGTGAGTCAAGATTTTAATCTTTAATCCAGTGATAAAAGATCATGATATAAAATGCCCTGTTTTGTTGTGATATCAGAAAATCGCTGCAAAATAAATTTTTATAAACAGATTTTTTTCTTGTACATGTGAGGGCAGAAATTAAATTCCAATCTACTGTTTATATATAAGCTAACAATAGCACTATTTGTTGAACAAAAAAATTGCTATTTGTATTACATATAGTTATTTTAAATTAAACACATGCAGACATTTATTTTTATGGGTTTTTTTTCTTTTACTTCACAATAGATTCACAAAGTATATAGGTTTAGTGCCACTCAGAGGAGTAAAGTCCTGTTAAAATATCAGACTTTAGTGTTGCAAAACAATGAGGCCGTGATGAATCATTTCAAAAGTATTTTACGTGTGACGTGACATTTATCCACAATCCAATTGAAAAACACATCTGTATACATAAATAGGTACAATAACCTACAATACACATATTTAATATCTTGTTAAAGTTCTTTAGATTAAATTTCAGTGTCCATACTTTTTTTGGTATCCCTCACATAGTTTACAATATTTACCAGACTCCATTTTCTAAAGGTTGTCCAGGTGGGAAGAGCTCGTCATAAGATATTTATTTCTAAATTTCTTTTCTCAACCCCATTGATAAATCTGCACAATGAGTTAACTTTGGTCACTTGTAGCCTCTCTGTGACAGAAATCCTTCTGGGACAGTGAAATATTATTTCACGTTCATCAAATTCACTATAAATGATGGTATTTCAAACTGAGTAGCAATTTAAGGGTGTGGATATTTGCTGCTTTTGTACTCAAATAGATGAAATAAATGGCCTTGTTTTCCCATTGAATTTGAGTGAATGTCACATTAAAACATTTTAAAATTAGTGATCAAAGTCTCCTATTTCACGTCACAAAAGCCTGACGTTTGAACAGAGACTTATACATATTTAAGAGCGACTGTGATTCCACCAGGGGATTATCCTCTGATACAGTTGGTTTATTTTACTGATGTGTGTGTGCTTGTGATCGTGGATGTGTAAAGACGACATGAGTCACACACACATTTAGTCAGAAAATATTTCTTTTGCATAAATGCCGATTCAAAACATGGATCATTTCTTTACAAGACAATGATCATTTCAGTACATGTAAACACATTTTGTGACAGAAAAGCCTCAACAGTTTTGATAAATCCAATCACACATCAGACACACTGCAGTTTACCCAGCTGCTTTTTCTCTACAGTTCTTTTTATCTATTTCACATCTAGAATCTTTGATTAAAATTAACCAAGAAGTGACAGAAAAGAAGCCTGAAATATTTTACTTTTAGTTGCAAAATGGCCTGTAAATCCAAGTCTACAAATTAAAACGGCTAGGAAAAAGTACTTCATGCTCATTTTCACTATACAAAATATTTGAATATTTAGAGGCAGCAGCACTTGAAAACATTTAGCAACAAGCTGTTTAGAAACCTTGCCAAGATACAATAATATATAGACACACAAACACAATGTTTTCACTGTGTATTTTTTTGTTGTTTTTTTTTGTTTGTTTGTTTTTATGCAAAATCTTTAAGACAGCTAAGGTTTTCATTCTGAACCAGCCAAATGTTTCTAAAACATCTCAATATTATTGTCCAGAGACATTTGGACATGACATACAAGAATAACAGTGTTGGTTGGACAGAGACCAAAGTGCAATATTGCCCTTTACACAAACATTAACACACTTTTTTTTTTCGTTTTAAAAAAAATGGATTGAGTATGAAGTAAGAAAAAACATTTTTCAGAGCTGAGGCAAAAAAATAATAATTCATATCGCTAGAAAAATAAATTAAAGAAATTTGTGATGATTCCAAAGTTTTCCACACAGAAAAAGAAGCCAAACACAAAGGCAGGGGTGATGTCCTTATGTTTCGGGTTCTATCATTACTATAAGCCTTCGAACACATTGTGCCATTTTTACAGAGGACACGGGTTCAGTTTAACTCTTTAAATGTATTTAAAGCTCCAGAGTGTAAACAATAATTTAGGTTTGAAGGAGATGGGATTGCAAGCTACTCTAACTGACACGAAACACAAAGTTAGAGAACTAAATTGTGTTTTACCAATTAACCAAAGGTGCACATCTTTGGACTGTGGGAGTGAACTGATGACAAGAAAAAAACAGAAAGGCTTTGGGCGTCCTGCAGGATGAACCTTCCTGCTGTGCGAGATCTAAGTGCTAAACCACTGCATCGTGCTTCTCAAAAACCTCTGACATCATCCAAAAGTTTATTTGCTTCAATAATTTAACTAGAGAATTTAAATTATATATTGTCTACAATCACTAAACACAGAGTTCTATATTTAAAGCAATTATTTATGTTAATTGAGATGATTGTGACTTAAAGCAAATCAAAATTTCATAAGAAACTTAGAATATTACATAAAGCCAGTAAAAAGATCATTTTTAATGGAGAAATGCTATGTGGCCTAAATACTGATGAAACAAACGTGAACTCCACATCCATCGTCATCCATCAGATAATAATTGAAGCCCTTTTGTACGAGGGTTTGTCAGAAAGTCACAGATAAAGAAGCTGGCTGCTCACAGACTGCTGTATCCAAGCACATCAAAAGACAAGAAAGTGGAGCTGAAGGAAAAACTGCAACAGCCAAAAGGTGCACAAGGAAAGCCCAGACGAGGGTATTCACAAAGCATGAAGTGGCTGGAGTCAAAGCTTTAAGAGCCACCAACACACAGAAGGTCTTCAGGAAATGGGCTGTAACTGCTTCATTGTGTCAAGCTACTCCAGAAACACAAATGCCAGAAGTATCTTATGTGGGGTAATAAGAAAAAACTGGCCAGTCGTCAGTGGTCCAAAGTCATATATTTAAATAAAAGTAAATTTAGTATATCATTTGGATATCAAGGTCCCAGAGTCTGGATGAAGAGCAGAGAGGCACAGAATCCAAGTCGCTTAAGGTCCTGAGTGAAGAGGATTTGGGAGTCATGTCTTCTGCTGGTGTTTGGTCCACTTCTCAAGTCCGAAGTCAAATAACTTTGTGTTCATTTCACGTTTAAGCTGGTGAAAGGCTTTATGGAGACAAACATTTTTCAGCCAAACTTGGCTCCTGTGCACCATGCCAAATGTCCAATACTTATTTGACATCGCTGTGCTTGAATAGGCTGGACAGAAAATATGGAGTTATGTCAAGAAGATGAGACACGCCCAGCGTAAGCCGATGGCCGGTCTTCTTCAGTACCTCAGAGCCACAAGCTGATCACCTCTGAGCCATGATAGCTTCATGCTAAAGGAGCCCTGATTAGGGACTTTTTCTATGTACTGTACAGTATATACACATACCTTTTAGGACTTTGAGTTACATTTCACTGTACGAAAAGAGGTCTGACTAAAATTTTGATCGTGTCATTGATTGATTGATTGTTAGTTCCATAATTAGGCCTAGAAAATATTTTTCCATTGATCTAATGTAATATTCTAATATTCTGATGAAGATAATGGGTTTTCATCAACCTAATCTGTGATCTTTAAATCCAGTAACAAACATTTAAAAGATGCCATTGACTTTTCATGTCTTAACTAAATTACTGAAATAAACTTTAGAATGATGTTAAAGTTTTTAGAGAGTACACTTGTATTCAGTATTTTGTATTTTTCATCAGACTAACAGTTTTGCAGCTGCAAGTGGCTTAAAATGTAATAAGTGCCTTTCACTAAACCTCGCACAGATGTTTGTCCTCATTTAATTGAACTTATCACAGTACCAGACTTGGCTTTTCTTTAATACTGTCTGATAGGTTGAAGTATATAAAATTAAAAAAATAAAAAGTTATTATCATGGATATATAAATTTTAGTGCATTATCATTGTCAAAACAAGTTTAGAAAAACAAAGTGCTCAATTTTCACTCCTTTTCAGCTGTTGACACGTTTCAAAAAATATCTACAGACAAATGTCAATCAGGAATTTACCATGCCCTACAAATACAGATCTTTGCTTTAGGACCATTTTGGCATCTGTTTGTGCTTTTTTTTTATTTGTTTTGAACTGTAATTTATAAAATCTTTATTGTCTAAAAATGAGCTGTCCCTATTATTTATTCATGTTTAACCCAAGCTTAACCAAGGTCGTTGGGTGAAACATAATTTATTGTGTGTGTGTTTTTTTAAAACACTACTGAGATAACAGGTTCTGCCTTTTTTTCATCCAAAGTTCATATTGCACATTTTAAAAATTTTGCAACATTTCAAATCTGATTCCCAAACGTGATACACGCATGCAGCTGCCCTAAA